TATTCTGATTTTATTAATTATTCAAACACTTAGTATTTCTAAGTCCGTAATTATGTAAATTTTACATTACTCTCCTCAATTAGTCCAATAATTAGTGAAAATAATATTTATCCAACTTTAATTAATCTACTCGTGTTACTAAGTCCAAATAATTACTACTTTGATATGATTTTCGTTTATTAGGCTTTTGTAAACCATCAATTTCTTTTTATTATATAACATCATGTAGTTATGTTAATTAACAATTAGCAAGTTTAGTCAAGTGATTACTATTAATTAATCAAGCCAATTTCCTCATTAATATTAAGAATTCCTTATTTAATTACTTAACTAGTTTTATATGGCCCAATTAAATTATATAGACTTCAAAATCGACTTTATAAATTAATAACCGTCCATAATTATATTTTGGGTCTATATTTGACCTAGGTTGTCCAGATATTTATTTTATAATTATTTTCCTTAATTTTTCGTTTATTTTCGTATATCCAATAACCGGTCCATTTACATTTAAATATACTAATATTAATTTTTATTAATTATAAATGGTCCATAATGTCTTAGTTAGTCATATATTTATCCAGGTTCACTCCCATGTTTATTTCATAATTATTTTCGCCATTTAGTTAATTATTCCTTAAATGTGTACAAATTGGCCCAATTACAATTAAATCAATTAAAAATAGCTAAAAATATTATTTTTCAATTCTGGTTGGTCCGAATATGTATAATCATACTAGGTATTTAATTTATATTTTTCCAGATTTTATTTATTTCATTTACTATTTTATTTCTAATTTTTATTGCAACTGGGCCGAACTGGCCCAAAAAAAAAACCAGCAACTGGCGGCCCAAAAGACAGACCCCAGGTTGGTCGTCTTCTTCAACGCAAAACGCAGGTCGCCGGAAAAAAAAAAAAACAGGGGAGAACGGGAAAAAACGCAGGTCGGGCTTACCTCGACGAAACGGCCAACGGCGGTAGCGGTGCACTCCTCCAGGGACGGCGCAGGTCGGTGAAGGGTTGGCGGCGGTGATGGCGGCTTCTGCTTCTCTGTTTTTCGTCGGGAAAGTTTCCCCGGCGAAACTCCGGCGAGCAATATCTCCCTCGTTTCTCGACCGTTTCCAACGATTCTTTCACTGTTGGATTCCTCTCGCTAAGGGGAAGGTTTGTGAGTGGTTTTGGCTTCGAATAAGGGGTTGTAGCGATGGTTAAAAAAAAAACGCTGTATATGTTTATATATGTATATCTCCGGTTTTACAACACCAAATGTAGCTATTTATAGGCCAAAATTCGCCCCTCTACATGCTCTAAACGTTTCTGGCTTTTAATTCACATCAAGAACACCTCTTAAATTTTCTGGCCGTTGAGTTGCGGCCGTTTTTCTTCATCGCACGTTAAAAAAATTTTTATTTTTTTTTTTTTTTCCTTTTTGTCAAATAAATTTATTCTTATCCGTTAAATTATATCTGGTTTACACATCTTTATCAGCTAAATAAATTATATAAGATTTATTCTTGTCAGCTAAATTGTACCCGGTATGTATGTCTTTATCAGCTAAATAGATAATTTATTCTTGTCAGCTAAATTGTATCTGATTTATAGACCGTTTATAAAATCTCACTTTTTGTAACATTTTATCTCACTGATAAAATTATTTTATTTTTATTTAAAATTTTGGAGTGTCACATTCTATCCCCCTTAAAAGATGTTTCGTCCCGAAACATTAGCTAAGCCAATTAACCGAATTCTTAAGTATTACATTCTACCCCCCTTAAAGAGGGTTACGTCCCCGTAACCGAAATATTACCTTAGTCAAAAAGTTCAGGGTAGCGTTTGCGCATATCGTCTTCAGTCTCCCAAGTGGCGTTTTCGGCCAAGTGGTTAGACCACAAGACTTTCACCATCTTAACCGCTTTTCTTCTAGTCTCACGGGTCTTGGTGTCCAGAATCCGGATCGGTCTCTCCTCGTAGGTCAACGATTCATCTAACTCGACCACCTAAAAGAGTCGAGGTTAGGCGTGATACTTAGATCTCAACTATCATAAGGTTACGTTTCGTACCTCGGGGTTAAGGATATGCGATTCGTCGCGGACATACTTCTTCAGTTGGGAGATATGGAAAACGTTGTGTACCTACACGAAATTCACACTTCAGAGATTTGCAATCAGGTAATCACTACTTAATGAGCGGGTTATGATGTACCTTAGCCAACCCGGTGGGTAGAGCTAGCCGGTATGCCACCCTTCCCACTCGTTCGAGGATATCATAAGGGCCTATGAACCTCGGACTTAGCTTTCCCTTTTTCCCAAATCTCATTACTCCCTTGGTCGGGGAGACTCTGAGTAGGACTTTCTCTCCTGCTTCGAATTCGGCTGGCTTCCTTCCCAGGTCTGCATAAGATTTCTGACGGTCTTGAGCTGCCTTCATCCTCGCTTGGATCATCTTTACTTTCTCGATGGTGTCTTGGAGGTAATCCGGCCCTAACACCACTTTATCCACCATGTCACCCCAGCATATTGGGCTTCTACACCTTTGACCGTATAGGGCTTCGTACGGGGCCATCTTGATACTGGCGTGGTAGCTATTGTTGTACGAGAACTCTATTAAGTCTAAGTGTTCATCCCATGACCCTTGTAGGTCTAGCATACATGCTCTCAGCATGTCCTCGAGTGTTTGAATGGTCCGCTCCGTTTGCCCATCGGTGGTTGGGTGGAAGGCAGTACTCAGCTTCAGCTTCGTCCCCATAGCGGCTTGCAATTCCCTCCAGAATTGAGATAGAAATCTAGAATCACGATCAGAAACGATGTCTTGTGGAACTCCATGGTACTTAACCACGTGTTTGATGTAAGCTCGGGCTAATTTCCCCATGCTCCAAGTTTCGTTCATCGGGATAAAGCGAGCGGTCTTTGTTAACCGATCAACTATAACCCAAACCTTGTCTTTGCCAGACTTTGTTAAGGGTAAGCCCCCAACAAAGTCCATGGAGATGGAATCCCACTTCCACTTTGGCACTTCCAAGGATTGCACGAGTCCCTTGGGCTTGCAACGTTCAGCTTTCACCTTTTGACAGTTTAAGCATCGAGCCACGAACTCAGCTACTTCTTTCTTCATCTTTGGCCACCAAAAATTCTTTTTGATGTCTTTGTAGAGTTTATCGCCTCCCGGGTGCACCGAGTAAGGCGTGTTGTGCCCCTCCTCCAGAATTTTCCTTTTAAGTTCTTCACATTTCATCGGGACACACCACCTTCCTTTGTGTCGAATGCTCCCGTCTTCGTGCAGTTTGAACGGACCGTTCACGCCATTTGTCATGCCTGCTCGGATTCGGTCTAGCTTTATGTCTCCAGGCTGCCCTTCGCGAATTTCGTCGAAGATAGAGGGGGTAACGGTCATGGTGAGTAACCGTGCTTCCCGCTCCACTTCTCCGCAATCCCGAACTTCCAAGTCCAGCTTCTGAAAGTCCCGGTATAGCTCATCAGGTAGTATCCATGTTGCTCTGCAGGAGTGAGTTGACTTGCGGCTCAACGCATCGGCAACTACGTTTGCTTTGCCTTCATGGTATTGGATCTCCAAGTCATAGTCCTTGACGAGTTCTAGCCAGCGTCTTTGTCTCATGTTAAGCTCCTTTTGGGTGAAAATGTACTTCAGGCTCTTGTGATCAGTGTAGACTTTACATTGTGCCCCATAGAGATAGTGTCTCCATAGCTTCAAAGCAAAGACAACCGCTGCCAGTTCCAGGTCATGAGTCGGGTAGTTGACCTCATGGGTCTTTAGTTGTCTTGATGCGTAGGCCACCACTCTGCCATTTTGCATCAATACACACCCCAACCCCTTCAGACAAGCATCAGTGTAAATCTCGAACCCCTCAGTACCGGACGGTAGGGTCAAGATAGGCGCGGTTGTTAACCTCTGCTTCAGTTCTTGGAAAGCTTCTTTGCACTGATCACTCCATATGAACTTCGTAGTCTTCTTCGTGAGATTAGTCAAAGGCTTTGCTATCTTTGAGAAATCCTTCACGAATCTACGATAATAGCCCGCCAAACCTAGAAAGCTCCGGACCTCCGTCACGGTTTTGGGTGTAGGCCATTCAGTTACTGCTTCGATCTTTGACGGGTCAACGGATATACCTTCTCGGGTGATGATGTGGCCCAAGAATGCTACCCGATCCCTCCAGAAATCACACTTTGAGAGTTTGGCATAGAGCTGATTCTCTCTCAAAGTTTGCAGCGCTGTTCTCAGATGTCCTTCATGCTCGGTTGGCGTCTTGGAGTACACCAGGATGTCGTCAATGAACACCACAATGAACAAATCGAGGTAGGGTCGGAACACACGGTTCATGAGGTCCATAAATACTGCAGGCGCATTTGTGAGGCCAAACGGCATTACGGTGAACTCATAGTGCCCGTACCTCGTTCGAAAGGCCGTCTTCGGGATATCTTTCTCAGCAATCCTCACTTGATGGTACCCGGATCTCAAATCAACTTTGGAAAACGTGCTAGCTCCCCTCAGTTGATCAAAGAGGTCATCAATGCGAGGCAACATGTATTTGTTCTTGATGGTTGCCTTGTTCAGTTCTCTATAGTCGATGCAGAGTCTCAGACTCCCATCCTTCTTCTTCACAAACAAGACCGGAGCACCCCAAGGTGAGATACTCGGTTTGATGTAGCCCTTCTCTAATAACTCTTCAAGTTGTTCCTTCAGTTCTTGCATTTCCTTCGGTGCCATTCGGTATGGTGCCTTCGAGATGGGTGCGGTGCCCGGCAGAAGGTCGATTGAAAACTCGACTTCCCTCTCCGGTGGCATCCCTGGAATCTCTTCTGGAAATACATCCGGAAACTCATTGACCACAGGAATTTGATCAATGGTCGGATCTTCGGAGGTCACGTCTTTGATCATGCACAAGTAAACTTCATACCCCTTCCGGACATATCGTTTGACTTGCTGCATGGTTGCTAGCTTCACTCCCGGTTTAGATGTGACTGCTTTGTAGGATACACGTTTCTTGTTGGGTCCCTTCAAGACCACTTTTTGCTCGTTACACAGGATTTTGGCTTTATATTTCCCTAGCCAGTCCATACCCAACACCACGTCGATATCCTCCAAATCGAATTGGATTAGATCTCCGGGTAGTTCGGTATCGGATATGACTATGGGAACATTAGAGAAAACACTTCCACATGCTACAATTTGGTTGGAGGCGGTTCTTACATTAAGATTAAGTTTGGTGGTCGGTTCTAGCTTTGTCTTTTCCACAAATTTTGATGCTATGAAGCTGTGGGATGCACCTGAATCAAATAGCACATAAGCAGGTTTGGAGTGTACAAGAAAGGTACCTGACACCACATCGTGTGCATTTGCTTGAGCCTGGTTCATAACGTAGATGCGGCCTTGGGTGTTGTTTTGCCCTCCCGGGCCTTGGTTTCGGTTAGCCTCCGCTGGGCGATTACCGGGATTACCACGGTTGGTGTTAGCGTGATTATTCCCGCCCCCAGTTTGGTTGTTCCCCTGGTTTTGACCCTGGCTTGGAGGTTTCCGGCACTCATATGCCCGATGTCCCATGAGATTACAGTTGTAACATCTCACTGCATTTCCCGCACAGTCCTTCCCGGGATGGTTGTTTGGGCACAGTTTGCATTTGTAGTACCGTGCCTGAGCGGGTTGATTCCTTCCCTGACCCTGGCCTTGGAAGGTTCTACTGCTTTGGTTGTTTTGTCTTGGCTCCGGGCGGTCAGTTCGGGCCTTCTTTTGCTGCTGTTCTACCTCGGCAACCTTCCGGTCTCTCTTCTGTGCCTCTCTCTCCTTCTGATGTACCATGTAGTACTTCCCAGCCTTCCGGTACGCCTCATTCATGTTCCGCGGCTCTGCCACGGTCACGAACTTTTGGGCACCAAAGTTCAGCCCATTAACAAATCTGCGGGTCATGCTGGCCTCAGTGGATACCAGATCCTTGGCAAAGCGGGCCAGTTGGACGAACTTTGTATGGTACTCCTGGACAGTTAAATCTCCTTGCTTGAAGTTGACAAACTCATCATAGTTTGCCTCCTTCACATGATACGGATAGAAACGGTCACGTAGGGCTACCTTGAAATCTTCCCAACAAAACCCCGGTTGCTCGAGCAGGGTTGCTCCAGTGGCGGCCCACCAATGATCCGCTTCTTGGTGCAAGTAGTACACCGCAATGTTCACCCGCTGCTCCAATGGGCAGTTGAGTGAGTCGAAGAGCTTGTCGAAGGTTCGGATCCAGTCTTCTAGAATCAGATGATCCTCCTCTCCCAGGTATTTTGGAGGGTTCCTTCCGGCTACACGTGTTGCATAGTCGACCCCCGGGTTCTGGTTCTGAGCTGCTCCAATGTGTTGCGCCATCTGCTGAATAGTTTGAGCTAACTCCTCAACAGTTGGGGTTGCATGGGGGTTTCTTCTTGGTGGCATGTTTCTTAATAAGGAAAAGCCCGTACTAAGTATTAAAGCATACATAAAGTTTCTATATAAATTCTCTACTAACTTCATATTCTTTGAACAAATAGTACACATAGTGTATCACATATTCCACATACTTCACAGAAGCATGAATCTCATGCATTTCATAACTCAATAATCTCGCAAGGTTTCTCCCTCTCACCGCGTTCCTAAAAGGCCCTTTTTCCTAGTATATTCATTCTCCTAATTTTAAGAAAACATTTTGAAAAATCCCGCATCGGAACTATAGTTTTCGTCAAAGATTTCGAACAACGATGTTTCAGCACAAGGAGAAATTCCCAGTAAGTTGGACGAGCGCAAAGGCTCAATTAAAAACCAACTAGTTTAGACTGTTATCGTCTTGGTGACAGAACTTGTCCCTACGACCTATTACCTCGTGTCCTAATCCCTTCGGAAAACCTGGCTCTGATACCAATTTGTAACACCCCCAATTTCCCACCCGAAACATTGATTTAATTGAAATAAAACTTTTATTTATTGAAAATTTGAAGAGTATAGCGGAAGTCTTAATAAGGGAAACGGGTGTCACCGCCACATCCGGTCATCTCTCAACCGGATGCACAGGCAACTAAAGTATAACAACTTTAACTCAATAAAAATAAAGTGTTTGTAAAGTAAATATTCATTTCATGACTAGTATGACTAAGGCAACTTCTAATTCGCTCTCAGGCCACGCAAGCAATCATCAATCAACAAGAACATCCTCACCTGCACGAATAAAGTGCAGAAACAAAACAAGGAAAAGAAAACAAAAGTTAGCTTTAGAGCTAAGTAAGTACTACCCAACCCCGTAAAATAATCATGTTTGACTAAAATAGATTTTTATATATAATATATAAAAATACTCACGCCATCGAAATTCTTTTCACTTGATTTTTCTTAAAGCCACTTCTTTACTAAAATTCTCAACTTTTCTTTAAAATTTCATAATAACTCTTCTCTTTGATTTCCTCAAAAATCACTTCTTCTCTAACTTCCTAGTAATTTAGAAGGGCGGTGCTCAACCTTTCGGAGAGCCCGGTGGACCGTGGTTATGGACGGCCACCCCGAACAAATGCCGGTACCACAACTGCTCTATTGGAAACGAAACGACTACCTTAAGTGTGCACACCCCCTAAAAGGGATTCCAAGCCCTCCGAGTAGTAAGTCGTAACGAGTAGTCGGGACTCAGTCTACCAACTACCCCTGAAAAATATCTTGAATGATTAGGGACTACTACTACCATAACTTCTTCTTAAAAAGGATCATCGATCCAAATATCACTTTAAACTCAAACTATACTTCTTCGTAGTAGCAGACCTAATCACCCTCCACATTTATCCGGACGTGGAAAACCGACACCGCGGATTTCTCCCGTGGCGCTCACTTCTTATGAAATCATTCTTTTATCTTGAATTAACATACATCAAAAAATATTCCTCAACTTCTCAAATTGCCTCAAAAATATTTAAATAAAATATGTAATTCCCAGAAGCACTTAGTTTCACTTCTCAAATATCACAACTCAAATAATCTCAAAATCACATGCATAAAAATCATAATTCACACTTAAAATCACGTATCACATAATACATATATAATACGAGGAAACAATTTTGGATTGGCAGAGAAACTTACCTCTAGTCCGGATGCTCCTAATTCCCTTCTTCAACTTCGTTCTCTAACTATTCACCTTTTTAATTAAGATATATAATTAGTCACTTATTCTTTAATAATTATTTACCCGATTTTCACCCTTTTATTTTATTCTTCGAATTCATTAATTTATTTATGTTATTATTCGAGTTAATCAATTTTTATTACTTAAATTACCTAATTAATTCAGCCGTTAATTATAATATTTGAATTCTAAAAAAAATACGAATATAATTAACTACAATATCAGATTTTTAGTTTAATAATCATCATTTAATTTTCTTACTTATAAAACGTCCAATCAACTATGTTTTATTAAAACATATTCGTGTTTCGAATAATTAAACTATTCCAATTTCACTATTAATATCAATCCACATTTTTAATAACTCAACAAACTAATCAAATAACGAAACTACATTAATTTTTATAAATCAACATTAATAAATCCGAATTAACTAATTGTTTATAACATATTCTGATTTTATTAATTATTCAAACACTTAGTATTTCTAAGTCCGTAATTATGTAAATTTTACATTACTCTCCTCAATTAGTCCAATAATTAGTGAAAATAATATTTATCCAACTTTAATTAATCTACTCGTGTTACTAAGTCCAAATAATTACTACTTTGATATGATTTTCGTTTATTAGGCTTTTGTAAACCATCAATTTCTTTTTATTATATAACATCATGTAGTTATGTTAATTAACAATTAGCAAGTTTAGTCAAGTGATTACTATTAATTAATCAAGCCAATTTCCTCATTAATATTAAGAATTCCTTATTTAATTACTTAACTAGTTTTATATGGCCCAATTAAATTATATAGACTTCAAAATCGACTTTATAAATTAATAACCGTCCATAATTATATTTTGGGTCTATATTTGACCTAGGTTGTCCAGATATTTATTTTATAATTATTTTCCTTAATTTTTCGTTTATTTTCGTATATCCAATAACCGGTCCATTTACATTTAAATATACTAATATTAATTTTTATTAATTATAAATGGTCCATAATGTCTTAGTTAGTCATATATTTATCCAGGTTCACTCCCATGTTTATTTCATAATTATTTTCGCCATTTAGTTAATTATTCCTTAAATGTGTACAAATTGGCCCAATTACAATTAAATCAATTAAAAATAGCTAAAAATATTATTTTTCAATTCTGGTTGGTCCGAATATGTATAATCATACTAGGTATTTAATTTATATTTTTCCAGATTTTATTTATTTCATTTACTATTTTATTTCTAATTTTTATTGCAACTGGGCCGAACTGGCCCAAAAAAAAAAACCAGCAACTGGCGGCCCAAAAGACAGACCCCAGGTTGGTCGTCTTCTTCAACGCAAAACGCAGGTCGCCGGAAAAAAAAAAAAAAACAGGGGAGAACGGGAAAAAACGCAGGTCGGGCTTACCTCGACGAAACGGCCAACGGCGGTAGCGGTGCACTCCTCCAGGGACGGCGCAGGTCGGTGAAGGGTTGGCGGCGGTGATGGCGGCTTCTGCTTCTCTGTTTTTCGTCGGGAAAGTTTCCCCGGCGAAACTCCGGCGAGCAATATCTCCCTCGTTTCTCGACCGTTTCCAACGATTCTTTCACTGTTGGATTCCTCTCGCTAAGGGGAAGGTTTGTGAGTGGTTTTGGCTTCGAATAAGGGGTTGTAGCGATGGTTAAAAAAAAAAACGCTGTATATGTTTATATATGTATATCTCCGGTTTTACAACACCAAATGTAGCTATTTATAGGCCAAAATTCGCCCCTCTACATGCTCTAAACGTTTCTGGCTTTTAATTCACATCAATAACACCTCTTAAATTTTCTGGCCGTTGAGTTGCGGCCGTTTTTCTTCATCGCACGTTAAAAAATTTTTAATTTTTTTTTTTTTTTTCCTTTTTGTCAAATAAATTTATTCTTATCCGTTAAATTATATCTGGTTTACACATCTTTATCAGCTAAATAAATTATATAAGATTTATTCTTGTCAGCTAAATTGTACCCGGTATGTATGTCTTTATCAGCTAAATAGATAATTTATTCTTGTCAGCTAAATTGTATCTGATTTATAGACCGTTTATAAAATCTCACTTTTTGTAACATTTTATCTCACTGATAAAATTATTTTATTTTTATTTAAAATTTTGGAGTGTCACAGTCACAATCAGAAACGTATCATATGTGCAGGGACTGAAACACAACTTGCTTAGCATCGGCCAATTTTGTGACAATGGAATGGAAGTGAGATTCCATGCTAGGCAATGTTGTGTGATGGATATGGGTGGGACACCATTATTAAGGTGTCAGAGGAAAACCAATCTCTACACCATTGATCTCAAATCGGTACGATCCCCCATATCCATCTGTCTCCTGTCTAAAGCATCTGAAGAACAAAGTAATCTATGGCACAGACGTCTCTCACACTTGAATCTGCCAGCCATCAGTTCCCTCTCCTCGAAGAAGTTAGTGAAAGGACTGCCTGTTCTGAAGAACTCCCCCAACCATCACTGTTCTGCATGTCATTTGGGAAAGATGAGGAGAGCATCACACAAGTCAAAACAATTTCCCTCCTCATCTCGTCCCCTGGAGCTACTACATATGGATCTGTGTGGTCCGATGCGTGTGCATAGCATCAGTGGACGCAAATATACTTTGGTAATTGTGGATGACTACTCACGCTACACATGGACCAAGTTTTTGCGCTCCAAGGACGAAACTGCAAACTTAATCATGACGTTCATCAGGACCATACAAAACTATCTACAGCAGAATGTGAAGATTATCAGAACTGACAACGGGACGGAGTTCAAGAACAAGGAACTGACTGAATTCTATGAAGCTCAGGGAATTACTAAACAGTTCTCTGCAGCTAAAACACCACAACAGAACGGTGTTGTAGAACGACGGAACAGAACCTTGGTGGAAGCAGCCAGAACCATGCTGATACAGTCAAAGCTTCCTCACTTCATGTGGGCGGAAGCTATCAACACGGCTTGCTTCACACAGAACAGGACCGTGATCCACAAAAGATTTGACAAGACGCCCTATGAGATCGTGTTCAAGCGGCTCCCTAACATTGCCTTCTTCCGCGTCTTCGGCTATAAATGCTACATTATGAACGACAGGGATGCTAGGGGGAAGCTTGATCCAAAAGCAAATGAAGGGATATTCATTGGGTATTCTACCAATTCCAAGGCGTACAGAGTATACTTGAAAGACAGAAGAACCGTCATGGAGAGCATCAATGTGAGCTTCTATGAAATGGCGGACTTGGCTTCTGAACATTTTCATTCTGAACCATCAACCTCTGCAAACAATGAAACTCCATCATCTTCTGGAGTAGGAGGGCAGGGAGGTGAGACAAAGATCGGATGAGCATGTGGTTCTGGATTCTCTCTTTGAGCACTTCTACAGCCAACCACGTGCAGCATCAACTACAAACGCTACACCCACTCAGAACCCCCTGTTACCTGCTCCAATCACTGAAGAAACCAACACTCCTACTCAGAATAATGATGAGCACACAGATAATGAAGCTGAACAAGAACCAAACTCTCCTGTTAATGATCAACCAGAAGAAGCTACAACGCAAGAAACCCCAGAAGTACAACCAGAGCAAGAATATTCTGACCCTGATCATCCAATCATAACTCCACAGCCTCTACAGCACGAGAGAAAGTGGACTAGAGCACATCCGCCAGAGCTGATAATAGGAGATCCATCTCAAGGAGTCAGAATTCAAAAATAAAAAGGACGAAGATGGTGTGATCGTGAGAAACAAGGCCCAGTATGGTCTGAAACAAGCACCGAGAGCCTTTGCACCAGTGGCAAGGATTGAAGCGATAAGACTATTCCTTGCTTATGCTGCACACAAGAGTTTCACAGTGTATCAAATGGATGTAAAGATAACATTTCTGAATGGAGATTTGAAAGAAGAAGTCTACGTTGCACAACCTGGCGGCTTTGTTGATCCTGAACGCCCCAACCATGTATATAAGCTGAGGAAAGCCTTGTATGGTCTGAAACAAGCACCGAGAGCCTGGTACGAAGCACTATCAGATTTTCTTGTGGAATCAGGCTTCTCGAAGGGAAAGATAGATCCAACTCTCTTCATCAAAAGGCACAAGGGTGACATCATGCTGATACAAATTTATGTGGACGACATCATCTTTGCTTCGTCGAAATCCAAATTTCTGCAAAAAGTTCAGCAACCTGATGCGCACCAAGTTCGAGATGAGTATGATGGGAGAGTTGAACTTCTTTCTAGGGCTTCAGATCAAGCAAATGCCAGACGGAATCTTCATAAATCAGTCCAAGTACATTCACGATATGCTAAAGCGCTTCAAAATGGACAGCAAGTCAACGATGAAAACCCCCATGTCTCCCTCACAAAAGCTCGACTCTGACCCTTCCGGGAAATCAGTCGATGCTACCAATTATCGGGCTATCATCGGTTCCTTGCTGTACCTTACATCTAGCAGACCAGATATTGTTTTTGCAACCTGTCTATGCGCCCGCTTTCAAGCAAATCCTAAGGAATCACATCTGAATGCTGTTAGAAGAATACTGAGATATCTCAAAGGAACAGTCAATCTGGGCCTTTGGTATCCCAAGGAATCAGGCTTTGACCTTGTTGGATACACAGATGTTGATTTCGCGGGTTGCAAACTGGACAGAAAGAGTACATCTGGCGGTGCTCAATTTCTTGGTGATAAATTGGTGTGTTGGTCCTCTAAAAAGCAGAATTGTGTGTCCACTTCTACAGCTGAGGCAGAATATGTCGCGGCTGCTAGCTGTTGCTCACAGATATTATGGATGAGGACCCAACTGAAAGACTATGGGTTCACGTTCTCACACATCCCGATCTACAGTGACTCTCAAAGTGCAATAGCCATCACGTGCAATCCTGTCCATCATTCAAGGACGAAGCATATTGACCTCAGATATCATTTCATAAAGGATCACGTTGAGAAAGGCACCGTGGACATGTACTTTGTGTCTACGGAATTGCAACTGGCTGATATATTCACCAAGGCCCTGGATGAAAAGAGATTCAATTTCCTGATCTCTAAGCTGGGGATGCTGAACCTGAACGAATGCGTAACTCTGAACTGTGTGTGTGCGTGTGCTTTCATAATTTTCATTCATTCTAAAACATTTTTCAAAATTTGCATTTTTATTTTTATGCATGCATCTCATATTTTTATTATTCTGTTTGCATCATTTTTTTTGCATAAATTGAGGGGGAGCTTTTCAAAATCTGTTCATCTGTTGAGGGGGAGTATTTCTAAATTGTATAAAATTTGAGGGGGAGTATGCTAAAATTTTCACTGTTAAAGGGAAACAAGTGTTGAGGGGGGAGCAATTTTTAAAATTGAACTCAGTCTGTTTTGAGCCCGTTAAAGTTCAAAATCTCCCGGGCCTATTTAATCACAAAAATCGCGCATCTCCCCTCTTCCTCACTCCACTCCTACTCTCACAACTTTTCACCTCCCTCTGAAGTCTCGCATCTCCTTTCTCCCCAATCTCTCGATCCTCTCCATTTGGTAAATCTCCATTCCTTCGTTCATGATATTTTTTTAGTTTTCACAGGTCTTGATGAACAGATGCTGCACGAAATCCAAGGTCGCGCGATTACAGACTTGGGCAAAACCCCTTGCGCGATATAAGCCACTTGCGCGATCCATTGAGATGCGCAATCTGCTTTGCAAAATTCAACTAGGTTGCGCGATCGAGTTCCTTGCGCGATCTTAGCCTTCTTGCGCGATCTGAGTCTATTGCGCGAACTGAGAGCTTGCGCGATTCCCTCTTTGCGCGAACCACACCCTTGCGTGATTTCCCCTCTGCGCGATTTCAGGCGTCGCGCGATCTGATGACTTATGCACGATCTTGGACCTCTGCGCGATTGGCGATCCCTTGCGTGATCGTTGACCCTGCGCGATTACCAGCCTATTGAGCGATCTGGGAGACTTGCGTGAACCACTCTCTTTGCGCAATTTGCTCGAAATCAAAATGACTGCCAACACTCCAATCAACATGATCTATGCTAGGGAACAATGGATCCCAATCAAGGAAAACAACTCACAGTTGGATCCCGAAGTGTTCTCTTGTCAAGATGACGTGGTCGTCTCCATTCTGAAAGGACACAAACTGTGGAAGGCACTGAGCGAAAACGCTGAAGTCCCTCAGGTGTATCTCCAACAATTCTGGGGTACACTTGACAAGGACGTAGATGCGAATGGCAGACAAATTGATGACGTCCTAGCTGCCACAATCTGCAACACCAGAGTCACAATCACAAAGGAGCTGGTCCAACAAGTGCTACAGATCCCGGAGGAGGAACATTATGAAGCATTGGCCTCAGAAGCGCAAATATTTGAAGACATGATCACTCTAGGCCACGCTGAGCCCCTCCGGTTGATGTTTGCAATCAAGACCGCACGATTTCCACGACCTTGGAGGACACTAATGGCCACACTGAACAAGTGCTGCACATCTAAGCACAGTGGCTTCGACAAATGCAGCGGTTACCTCGTCTACATCTTCCACGGCATCGCTTTCATGAAGAACTATGACTTCGCCTCACTAATCTGGGGTGACATTCTGGAAATGCGAAGAAGGAAGTTTGACACTGATCTGATCAAGCATCTACCATATATGAGATGGTTTTCCTTGCTGGTGCGACAT